AGGGCGTCACGCTGGCGGAACTTCTCGAGACATCGCTCCAGCCGCTGCGGCTGGGGTTTGACGCCGAGGGATCGTCTGTCACCGTCGTCCGTGTCGACGCCGACAAAACCCGCACGATCCAGCACCCGGTCGCCGACCTCGTCGAGGCAGACGAGACGGAGATGGTCGCCCTGTTGCGACGACTGGGGAAACTGCCCGCGGATTCGCAATTCAGCGACAGTAAGCTTGGCGTCACCGCATCGCTCGCCACGCAGTACGACCTCGTCGTGCTCTGTGAACGCCTGCGGATCGCACGGGGTCTGCCGCTGAAGACAAAGTACCCCGGCTCGCTGTTATCGGCCGAGCCGTCGCTGGCGACGCTCGCGCCGGTGCTCGACCGCCGGACGACGTTCAGCTTTGTCGAGCCGACGCCGCTGACGGAGGTGTTCGGTCATTGGCGCCGCGTCACGGGGCTGTCGATCCTCGTCGATTGGCGGGCGCTCGCGGAGATCGGTTATGGACCGCGATCGACGGTCGAGTGCTCGGTCACCAACCGGCCCTTCGGCGTAGCGCTCGACGGCGTGCTCGGCGGCTTGGGCCTCACGTGGGGCGCGGTTGATGGCCGCACGCTATGGCTGACGACGAGCGACGCCGCGCGACAGCCCGAGACGATCGAATTCTACCCGCCCGGCACGACGGCGCCCGCCGACGTTATCGCCGAGGTCGATCCCGCATCGGGCCACGTTTTTGTGCGGGCGGCGGTGATCGAACAGCGGGGAATCAGCGAGGATTTGGCACAGCAAAAGTAACCGGGGGCTAAGGCCCCGCGGCTGATATTTGGTCACTCGTGTTGGTCATCAGCCGGCACGCGTTAGCGTCCGGTTCTGCCCCTCTGGAGAGCATCAAACTCTTTTCGATCCTGCGCTACTGTGACATAGACCACGACTTGCTCTAACTCGTCTTCCGTGTTGACGCATTGCCAGTCGCCGCCTGTCGTCCACACGGGACGATCAATGAATTGGTCCCAATGTGTCCTCAACTCGCGAGTACAGTTCGCCTTGAGTTGGTCGCGCACTACGCTACCGGCGACCCCGTGCGCCGAAATCACTGTATGGACGTGGTTAGAACGCGCGCTCTTTGCCCATACGCGCCAACCTCGATACTCGGCTAGGCGTTCGATCTCTGACGCTACCACTCGCCTTTGCGGCTCGTTCAGTAGCTCGATGGGGTGCTTCAATCGCTCGCGACGCCATTCCGCCAACTTTGGTTGAGCGTTCTGTTCCCCCCTTCCCCTCTTGCGCCAGCCTCGTTCGTCGCCCTGTAGGAATGTGCCGTGGACCGTCCAGGTGATGAAGTACGCGAGTGGTTCGTCATTGAGCATCC